GATTAGCAGAAGAAAGTCAGCCTTTATTCGCATTTCAATGGACTGACCCAGGGACTGGCACTAAGGTTCAATACACCTGGCCGAGGCTGGATACCGGGTATCCAAGAAGAAGGCGCAGATATGTCAACCAACTGTAAAATACCTTGGTTTTGACATCTCTCACCAACAGCGAACTCTAAGGGAGGAAAGAAAACAGGCTATTATCCAAATACCAGAGCCAAAGAACCGCAGGGAGCTCCGTGGTTTTCTGGGATCCGCAGGGTTCTGTAGGATATGGATACCTAACTACAGCAGCATTGCTCGGCCCCTGCATGAGTCAACTAGGGGAACAGAGAAGGATCCTTTTATATGGGGCAGGGAACAGCAGCAGGCTTTTCAGGATCTCAAAGTGGCATTACAACAAGCCCCAGCGCTTGGCATCCCAAACCCCGAGAAGCCTTTTACCCTGTTCATAGATGAAGACCAGGGGGTAGCCAAGGGAGTTTTTTGCCAGAAACTGGGAAATTGGCAGCAACCCGTCGCATACTTGTCAGAGAGGCTAACCTCAACAGGACAAGGGTTGCCCCCCTGTATGAGAGCGGTTGTGGCAGTGGCCACCCTACTCACAAAGGCAGATAAATTCACGTTCGGACAGGACACCACCTGTGTGACTCCACACGCAGTCCCAGCCTTACTTGACATGAAAGGCACCTATTTCCTATCACAAGCAAAAATGAGGAAGTGCCAGATGCTGTTATTACACCCACGCCTGAAGTTTCAGGTTATCATAGCCCTTAACTTCATCCTTATTACCGGTAGGAGAAGGTGAGGGGCCGACCCATGATTGTGTAGAGGTCATGGATGAAGTGTATTCCAGCAGGCCTGACCTTAGTGATGAAGTGTGGGTGAGAGACTGGGCCCAAATCCCGCTGCAACCGTGCTGGAAGGGACCCTACACTGTTCTCCTCTCTACACCCACTGCTGTGAAGGTTGCTGGCGTTACCCCTTGGGTCCACCACACTCGAGTGAAGAAAGTAGTCTCTGATTGGACTGTGTCCCCACATCCCGAGGACCCCCTCCGGCTGACCATATCCAGGCGCCCAGCGGACAACCGCCCTGCTAGCACCACTCCGGACGCTGGTGCTTCTACGCACGGCTGGAATAAGTGGATGGGAGGGACGCCCGCCGGCAGCGCCCCCAACGTTCCAGATATTAAAACTACACCCCCTGAAAATCTCGTGGCCCAGGCAAGGCAGGGTCCCAGATTAGTATTATTTGGTGTGCCAACACCCCTGTAGGAATTTTGTCCCCGTGCTCTTGCCCTGTGCAGGCAGCTGTTTATTCTTGTGGGTCTGTGGCAGTGTATTTTTCCTCTCAACCCATCCCCGGAGGGCTGAAACTATCACCCACCCACCATAGCCACATGCACCCCACCAATATTGAAGGTCGATACTGCTATACTCTAGGCCCCAACTCTCAGTCCTGGAACTGCCCTCATAATGTCTGATTATTGGTGGGTAGGAGTAATATGTACCGCCCTGATCATCTGGATGGTCTTTTATTTCTGTTGGCACGAACTCCATAGGTTTTTTGGAAGGAAGCGATCCCCCTCCATCCCCTTGATGATCCTTCTCCTATTTATGATGGGAGAATCTACTCCCAAGGCCGAATGCTTCCAGGTCTTAAATCGTAATAGCATTTTCCCCACACAGGAAATGAGAAGACAGGGGGCTCAGAGTCTCTATAACAAGTGGCTTCAATTGGCAGAAATAGTAGCCCATGAAGCAAATAAAACTGCTTGTTTAGTTTGTACCCTCAGACCCTTAGATGGAGGAGGAGGAATGCCCATGCTCCCCATACCCCTCAATCGTTCTCAGATCCAATATACGTATAGTCCATCCCACCCAACTCCTTATTGGAACCATTCAACTCCTTTACGAGTTTATAGGGTCTCTGGATGGTTCTGTACTAATAACACCCGAAATACCGTCTACAACTATACAAGGTTTATAGGACGGTCATCATGTAATTGTACATGTGGTAGTCCTTTGGACATCTCTGAATGTGGCGGGGCTTGTACCAACCTTGCATTCATGGAGGGAAGTTCTCGAGCCAGCTGGACCTCTTCTCAGCGCGGCAGTAATATTTATTGGATTTGTGGGACAAAAGCTTATCACCTCTATCCACAGAACGGATATGGTGTTTGCTTTCCAGCATTTCTTGTACCTCCAATGTGGATACCCTCTTCCCCATCCCATCGTAACCGCCGCTCTGTTGATATCTCCAACATCGCGGGAGGTAGTAAACAAACCTGGGGAAAGTACGAATGGCCACCTGAACGCATAATTGCCCACTATGACCCTGCCTCCTGGAATCCTGATGAGTTGGTGACAGGAGCCCGAGAACCCATTTACATTTTGTACGGCCCTCAACCTGACTGGTGGAGCATGCTGTTTTAACATTTCAGATCATGGCGAAGCCATTCGTAATTTGGCTGCTAGCATTGAAAAAAGTAGCCCATGTTCCTGTACAAACTTGGGAAGGATGGGATATGTCCTGGCTAGACAATTTCCTCCCAACAGGGTGGCTTCGGGGGCTCTTTGCTATGCTTATGGGACCTTTGCTAATTTTGCTTTCGCTCCGCTTTTGTATTCCCTGCTTGGTGCAATGCTTGCAAAATATGATGCAGAAAATGATGTCCCGAATGATGGGACCCTGTGTGATTGCCCTCATGCGAGAGTATAGGCCCATCCCTGCGAATGAACCTATAGATTAGGTTATTCAGAAGAAGAAGGAGGGAGTGAAGAGAGTGGGCAGGGAGTATAATGGCAGTTTGAAGGCAACGCCCGGAGAGCAGGAGGAAAAATACATCTGGAGCAAGCAAGATACACAGGGTTGGCCGATAAGCGAAGGGAGTGCACTGCCAAAATGCTTTAGCAACACCCAATGAGGCAAGAAGGCAGATTGGGGGATACGATACGATGAGTTACTGGTGGTTGGGTGGTCGGGAGGTGCTGCAAGGGTATAAAAACTGCTTGCTTACATGTATTAGGGGCTGCCAGCCTTTGGAAGTAATTCCGCTGGTTGCCTCTGCGCAGATCACAATAAACTTTTTTTCTCCGAAGGAACTGAATCCCTGGTGCTTCTTTGTCACCTCTACGTCCAGGGTAAGAGGGCAAATGGATCCCAAGTAATTAAGGCTTCATGCCTTTCTCCCCAAAGGAGCCCAGGTTCAGCAAACAACCACTGATAAAACACATTAAGAACTCCTTCAAAAATTCCAGACTGGGGAAAATCTCAACTTAGAAGGCTTGTTGAAAGAGGAAAGGTCTTCAGTGGGTGCCAAAAAGACAACAGAGATGGCACCTGTCAGATATTCAAGGGGTGGGAATTCCAAAGGGTAGATGTCCTTTCCTACATTGTGTGGATAAGATGGTATCTTCAAAAGGCCCTCACTTTCAGAGTGCAATGATCAACTGGGTATTTAAAGGGTGAGATTATCTTTTCAGGTATCCTGGCAGTACAAGGTTGTATACACCAAAATTGACACCTTGAACTTAGCCTGGTAGCTAACTGGTAGCCTGGTAGCTAATTATTTCAAACAGCGGGGTAATTTGCCAGCAGTATCCTACCCAGGGAGCATTTGGGCGGCAGCTTCTGGGCCAACCTCAATGGCAGCCCCACACAGAGCACGTTGCAGTAATCCATCCCAGAGGTTACCAGCTCATGCAGTCCAAAAACAAGTGTAGCTGCCTCACCAGCCCAAGCTGGTGTCTAAAAGTCTTTGGTATCACTTTTATAAGGGTGAGGATTGTGGCAAAAGGATCATGGAGAGCTTGCATGGTGGTGTACGCAAGGACACACATATTGCATCCTTGGGCAGATGCTGGGACCCACTGCTGCTGATCACAGCATCTTCCCAGTTTATGGATCCTGGGCATGCTAAAATGAAGCACTGAACATGTGGGAACTACCCATGGTTAAGTTCCCCTCTCCCAAATGCCTGATGTTTTCAAGCCTTGTAGAACAGCTGTTAGTCTCAGCTAACACTGTGGGGGCTAATAGCCAGTGATCCTTTTTTTGTTTTGTTTTGTTTTTAGAGTGAGGGGTTGGAAATGTCCACTCAAGCCAGGATTTGGGAATCAGAAAGGCATTCCATATGATGTCATTCTTCTGATTCACTTGGACTCGTATGTGACATTGGAAGAGCTCCCATTAAGACGACAGTGTCTCCAAGCAAGGTTGAGAGGTATCAGCTTGAAGGTTTGCATAGTCTGTTGGGGTGGGAGGTGGGGGCTGGCCAAAAGCACATTTTTTTCTACTTAGAAGTGTGGTGGGTGAAGCTGCTTGCCTCAGCGTCTTGGAGTTTAATTTCAACCCTTAAAAGTGTGCCAAGAGTTAATAGCCTTAAAAGTCACAAAGTATAACTGGCCATCCTTTTGTAAAAAACGCCATAAATGCCGCAGCAGTCAGAATGACTTCACAGCAGTACAATAGGTGCCTTCATGGCGATCTGAATCCGGCTGCTTTATAGTTTGCAGCAGCCACACTCAGGCTCTTATTCCTTGGCAATTTCCCTAAGCTAAATAAGTCTGTGTTCTGCCAAGGAGCTGACACTTGGTGTAGCTGAGACATCCAGCTCTTTTCAGGAGAAAGATTAGGCTACAAATCAAAGTCAGAGCCAGCCACCTAAAAGGGCTGCAGAAAACGACCAACTTTGTATGCAAAAATGTGGCTTGGGGGTGTTGTTGTTATTGCACTCATGCGCCAAGTACCCTGGGCTGCGTGCACAGCATTGGGAATGTTGCAGCGCGGGGCAACTAAAAATGATCAAGAGCCTGAAGCACCTCTGTGAGGAAGGACAATATTAAAAATAATCGGCCCAATTCTAGTCCACTTTACTCTCTGCTCCAGAGTTTCAGGTTCCCTTTCTTTTTTGTGATCTTCCTGTCCTGTAACAATAACTGTGTGGAACTGTTTCGAGATACTTTGCTAGCTTTCTTGAAACCATTTTGACTTACCTTGAATTTCCATTTTCTTTTTTGATGTTTCACCTGAAGAGGAACCTCTGAATTCAGCCTCAGGCATGGTACTTGGCCCTGATGCTTTGTGATTTAAAAAGAAAAGCAAAAAAAAGGATAAAGAAACATACACAGAGACTGCTCAGAGTCTAATGCCTTAGCATAGGGTGGAATATATATCAGAAGGTTTTTTTGTTTTGTTTTAAGTCCTCAGAGCAGATTATTTAACCAGCTTCATTTTGTTAATGACTCAGTGGCCGCCAAGGCAAGGCTTTGAATGGGACAAATGGCCTGCTATAGCGATACTACTAGCCTTCCCTGAGAGACCAGGCATAATTGGTTATGCAGAGGTCCTGGGAACACAATCTAAGAATAATTCTCCATGGGCCAGCTGAATCTGAAAGAATTGAGGAAGTGACAGTTTCACAGGGAAGCAAAGGCTATAAACACTGCCACTCTTTCACAAACCAGATAAGTGTCAGAATTATTCCCCTCACCCTTCAGCACAGGAATGTGCTAAGTACACAAAAGGGAACCAAAGGGAAACGGGGAGGGGAAGTGGGGGCAGGAGGGCATTTTTCCAATGGAAAATTGTGGGTAAAAAGGAAGGGGGGCACGTTCAGGGTTTAGAAAAAAAGCCTTATTCTGGGGTTGAAATGTATCATCCGAACTGACCATGATGGGATGAATCACCTTCTCTGGTGTACTTTACCTGCACAATTTGTTTTGGCAGTGAAAAGCACTACCACCTAACCACTGGATCCCCAATCCAGACAGTCAGTGTTTTGCCATTTAAAGAAATGGAATTAAACACACAGAGTGTTGTGCAAGCTGTTGGCATTCACGTGGTTTCACCACTCCTCTCCAATTTCTCATCTACCATTGGGATAATATTATTCACCAAAGCAATTCACAATTAAACAGAAACAGCCCCGTGCATACACTGAAAAACCCTGCAATTGGAGTTTCCAATGGCACTAGCAGAGGTCACAACAGAAACATCAAATGCGTGACACAAGGGAAGCATGATTCCTAATTGGTCCGTTAAGAATTGATTAAGTGGGTGTCCAAGGTTAATTGTTATTAAACTGGTCGATTATGGTTTGGCAAGGAAGGCCTGGAGGTTCCAGTGTGCTTCTCATTTCTACAGGAGAAGAACGGGGGCCTGAGAGGGCCCCACAGCAACTGGGGCTCCTCCTGACCTAGATGGGCACGCTCCCTGCCCTGCCACATTCCAGGGCAGCACAAGAGAGTCTTGTCTGGGTTGGAAAGGATGGAAGTTGTAGGGAGGCTTCTTATGCTTCTACATAAAACACAGGCATCCAAGGGTCGTAGAGGACATGTGTGAAATATCTGAGGCCTCTCAGCCACCTGCGCTCCTCCAAGCCTGGAAATACTTACTCCTCCAAGTAAGTAATGCAAAGTGTGTGTGTGGGGGGGGGGGAGCAGGGGGTCCTGCTCAGATTGGGAAGAGTTGCTACTGCCGCCTCCCAGTGGCATGCCCACAGCAAAGTTCTTCCTTTTCCTGCCAACAGCGCCTGCTGGGCTGGATGCAGCTTTACCCAGATATGCCCACAAAAGACAGTTGGAACAATGCTGTCGCAAGCTAGTTTGGTGTTGACTCAAAGAATCATGGGGCATAAAAATGAAGGCTGCCCAGCTCTGATTAATAATAATAATAATAATAATAATAATAATAATAATAATAATAATTTATTATTTATACCCCGCCCATCTGGCTGAGTTTCCCCAGCCACTCTGGGCGGCTCCCAATCAGTGTTAAAAACAGTACAGCATTACATATTAAAAACTTCCCTGAACAGGGCTGCCTTAAGATGTCTTCTGAATATCAGGTAATTATTTATCTCTTTGACATCTAATGGGAGGGCGTTCCACAGGGCGGGCGCCACTACCGAGAAGGCCCTCTGTCTGGTTCCCTGTAGCCTCACTTCTCGCAATGAGGGAACCGCCAGAAGGCCCTCGGCGCTGGATCTCAGTGTCCGGGCTGAATGATGGGGGTGGAGACGCTCCTTCAGGTATACAGGACCGAGGCCGTTTAGGGCTTTAAAGGTCAGCACCAACACTTTGAATCGTGCTCGGAAACGTACTGGGAGCCAATGCAGGTCTCTCAGAACCGGTGTTATATGGTCCCGGCGGCCACTCCCAGTCACCAGTCTAGCTGCCGCATTCTGGATTAATTGCAGTTTCCGGGTCACCTTCAAAGGTAGCCCCACGTAGAGCGCGTTGCAGTAGTCCAAGCGTGAGATAACTAGAGCATGCACCACTCTGGCGAGACAGTTCGCGGGCAGGTAGGGTCTTAGCCTGCGTACCAGGTGGAGCTGGTAGACAGCTGCCCTGGACACAGAGTTAACCTGCGCCTCCATGGACAGCTGTGAGTCCAAAATGACTCCCAGGCTACGCACCTGGTCCTTTAGGGGCACAGTTACCCCATTCAAGACCAGGGAATCCCCCACACCAACCCGCTCCCTGTCCCCCAAAACAGTACTTCTGTCTTGTCAGGATTCAACCTCAGTCTGTTAGCCGCCATCCATCCTCCAACCGCCTCCAGGCACTCACACAGGACCTTCACCGCCTTCACTGGTTCTGATTTAAAGGAGAGGTAGAGCTGGGTGTCATCTGCGTACTGATGAACACCCAGTCCAAACCCCCTGATGATCTCTCCCAGCGGCTTCATATAGATATTAAAAAGCATGGGGGAGAGGACAGAACCCTGAGGCACCCCACAAGTGAGAGCCCAGGGGTCTGAACACTCATCCCCCACCACCACTTTCTGGACACGGCCCAGGAGGAAGGAGCGGAACCACTGTATGACAGTGCCCCCAGCTCCCAGCCCCTCTAGACGGTCCAGAAGGATGTTATGGTCGATGGTGTCAAAGGCCGCTGAGAGATCCAGCAGAACTAGGAAACAGCTCTCACCTTTGTCCCTAGCCCGCCGGAGATCATCAACCAGCGCGACCAAGGCAGTTTCAGTCCCATGGTGAGACCTGAATCCCGATTGGAAGGGATCCAAATGGTCCGTTTCCTCCAGGCGTGCTTGGAGTTGTTCAGCAACCACCCGCTCAATCACCTTGCCCAAGAATGGCAGATTTGAAACTGGGCGATAGTTGGCCAAATTGGCCGGGTCTAAAGATGTTTTTTTAAGAAGCGGTTTAATGACCGCCTCTTTCAGCGGGTCTGGGAAGGCTCCCTCACAGAGGGAAGCATTCACCACCCCGCAGAGCCCAGCGCCCAGCCCTTCCCAGCTCGCTTTTATCAGCCAGGATGGGCAAGGATCAAGGAGACAGGTGGTCGGTTTCACTTTTCCAAGCAGCCTGTCCACATCCTCGGAGGTAACAGACCGGAATTGATCCCATGTAACAGGACCAGACAGAACTCCAGCACTCTCCCGCCCTGGCCCTGCTCCCACGGTGGAGTCTACCTCCTTCTGAATCTGAGCAATTTTATCTGCAAAAAAACTTTGCAAAAGCATTGCAGGAGATCTTGGGGTCCCTACCAGGCCCCGTTGGTACAGGTGGTTCCGATAGATTGCGAACCACCTGAAAAAGTCTCCTGCTGCTGTTTTCTGCAGATGCTATGGAGGCGGCGAAGAAGGCCCTCTTCGCCGTCGCCATTGCCACTTGGTAGGCTCGACGTTGAGCTCTAGCCTGTGTCCGGTCTGATTCAGAATGAGTTTTCCGCCACCGGCGCTCTAGCCGTCTCAACGATTGTTTCATCACCCTCAGCTCCGGGGAAAACCACGGGGCTGTCCGGGCTCCATGCAATCGGAGAGGGCGCTTCGGAGCCAGACAGTCAATAGCCCTGGTTAACTCCGCATTCCAGCGTGCCACCAGGGAATCAGCTGAAAGGCCATCAACTTGGGATAAAGCATCCCCTACCACTCTCTGGAAGCCAATTGGATCCATTAAGTGGCGGGGGCGGACCATCCGAATTGGTCCCACCTCCCTGCAGAGGGGAAGGGTTGCGGAGAAGTCCAGTTGCACCAGGAAGTGATCTGACCATGGCACTTCTTTTGTTTCGCTTTTAGTTAGTGTCAGATCACCAGCATCCATAGAGGTGAACACCAAGTCTAAGGCATGTCCATGGCTATGAGTTGGGCCAAACTTATTCAGGGACAGCCCCATGGAGGCCATGCTTTCCACGAAGTCCCGAGCGGCCCCTTGTAAGGTCGTGTCGGCATGGATGTTAAAATCCCCCAGGACAACCAAGCTAGGTGTCTCCAGGAGCATATCCGCCACGACCTGAAGCAGCTCGGGCAGGGAATCCTTGGTGCAGCGGGGAGGTCGGTACACCAGTAGGAATCCTGTACTGCCCCTATTGCCCAACTTCCAGAACATGCACTCAGAGAACTGGGTCTTCCCAATAGGACGCCTGGTGCAGACTAATGACTTCCTAAAAATCACTGCAACCCCCCCTCCCCGCCCACATGACCTGGGTTGCTGTGCGTAAGAGAAACCTGGTGGGCAAGCAGCGGCAAGGACAGGCCCATCTGCTTCATCCAACCAGGTCTCTGTCAGACATGCCAGATCAAATCCTCCATCCACAATCAGGTCGTGGATGGCAGTGGTTTTATTCATCATTGACCTGGCATTGCACAGCAACACTTTCAGGTCATGTGGGTTTCCCTTGCTGATTCCAGTATCCTTCCGGTCAGGACCAGACCTGGAGGCAGGGATAGTCCTCAGACAACGACTAAACCTGCCTCCTCTGTAATGACATGGTCTGGTCTTAGCGTAACTCCTCCTCCTACCCATGATCACTGAGATCGGTTGTCCCAGTGCATCCCCCCCCTGTGGAACATGCCCCGGCCATTTTGTTTGCTGGGACCCACTCCCAGGCAGCCCTGACCCCACCCCTTAAAAAGCAAAATACAAACTATATAATAATTTAACAGAATAATAATGATAATAATAAAACAAAACAGAACAAAACAAAGCAAGAAACAATAGCGCTGACTAAATGCTTATCCCTCCCCAAGCAAAAATAAAATAATAAAATAATAAAATATTATAAAAAACAACCACCATTTAAAGTGCTGCAAATTAAAAACAATTAAAACATTTAAAACCATTTTGTCCATTGCTGCCGGTAGCTGTTCAGGCCTCTTATGCTGTGGCGGTGAGTGCAGGCCCCGCCCCTAGGCCAGATGGAGTTGGCAGAAGAGGGAGCGGTCCTCCCAACACTCACGCAAGCAGCAACAGCAAGCCGTGTCCCGGAGGCCTTGATGGAGGCCCTGGCAGTGAGTGCAGGTCCTGCCCCTAGGCTGGATGGAGTTGGCAGAGGAGGGAGCAGTCTTCCCAACACTCACACAAGCAGCAACAGCAGCCGTGTCCCGGGGGCCTCTCTCAGGCCTCTTATGCTATGGCTGTGAGTGCAGGCCCCGCCCCTAGGCCAGATGGAGTTGGCAGAAAAGGGAGCGGTCCCCCCAACACTCACGCAAGCAGCAACAGCAGCCGTGTTCCGGAGGCCTTGATGGAGGCCCTGGCAGTGAGTGCAGGTCCTGCCCCCTAGGCCGGATGGAGTTGGCAGAGGAGGGAGCGGTCCTCCCAACACTCACGCAAGCAGCAACAGCAGCCGTGTCCCGGAGGCCTTGATGGAGGCCCTGGCAGTGAGTGCAGGTCCTGCCCCCTAGGCCGGATGGAGTTGGCAGAGGAGGGAGCAGTCTTCCCAACACTCACACAAGCAGCAACAGCAGCCGTGTCCCGGGGGCCTCTCTCAGGCCTCTTATGCTATGGCTGTGAGTGCAGGCCCCGCCCCTAGGCCAGATGGAGTTGGCAGAAAAGGGAGCGGTCCCCCCAACACTCACGCAAGCAGCAACAGCAGCCGTGTTCCGGAGGCCTTGATGGAGGCCCTGGCAGTGAGTGCAGGTCCTGCCCCCTAGGCCGGATGGAGTTGGCAGAGGAGGGAGCAGTCTTCCCAACACTCAGACAAGCAGCAGCAGCAGCCGTCAGGCTGATTAAGACAGGCAGCCACTTGGTCTCTTCCAGCAAGTGAAGGTAGAGGCGGGGGACTACAACCAGTGGCGGAGGAAGGGGAAGTGGGCCGCCCCAGGTGTCATCACTGAGGAGGGTGGCAAAATGACAAAAATATGAGTTGTGGTTTTTTTTAAGGGCTCACAAAACTTTTTAGTTCAGTCAAAAATCTAAACAAAATGTGGCTGGCACTGGGCACCACACCGCAGGGGCTGGCAGTTACCACGGGGCCTGCAGTGTGCCCAAGCCACACGTCTGTCCTGGGAGTGACATGGTGGCTTGGGCGCCTGCAGGCTCAGCACTGCCTGAAACAGCAGCGTGGGACTTGCCTCTGCCCTCCGCCTCTCCCTCTGCCGCCCTACAGCTGAGGGGGAGGCAGTGGAAAGGCTCCATGCAGCGTGCCCTGCCCCCATGGGCGGCTCACCCCACTCCCGGCTGCAGGATGCGTGCGCCGCCCCGGCACCCGAGCAGCTAGCTACGCTGCTGGCTACAACAGGCAGAGAGGCAGGATCCTGCAGGCATCAGCCTCAGTGGGCGCTGCCATTTACCCACCATGCCGGGGGCTGAGAACAGGCTTGAATAGCAACAGAACCTTTGCATGCTATTTTATTGTTTCTTAGCAAGGAAACTGTATATATGTACTGATTTTTAGCCTGCTGCAGCCAAACAAAATAAAATAAAAAGGTGTGCCAGACTTTGTGTAGCTGAAGCGTT